GCAGAAGTTGTGGGGACTTCTCTTCTTGGCACTGGAACCTTGGGCTGGGGACCCTGGTGTGGGGCTGGGACCCCATGCTCCTTAGGAGGTATATTCTCAGCCAAGATGCCTCTCCCAGTCCTCAACCGCCACACATGGGTGTGTGACTGGCCCTTTTCACACCGCTGCCTCTCCTACCAGTCTCGAGGTGGCCTCTTCTGTGTGTCCCTAGTTGTAGGACTTCTGTTCAGCTAGACTTTAGGTGACTCCCAATGATGGCTGTTCTGTAGTTTAGTTGTAATTTCTTTGTGGTTGTGAGAGGAGGGAAGCACAGCATTTACCTACTCTACCATCTTGACCAGAAGACTATCTTGAGCATTTTTAATTCATCTTTAATATGTGTTTTTTGACTATATTATTTTAATGACTGCATAACTCATCACATAACTATATTCTAGTTTATTTAGCCAGTCTCTTATCACTACATAAAATTCACAATTCCATTTTATTCATCATTATAACACTGTAATCAAGATTATTAAATTTATGGATATGGTAAAATTAGAACCTTCATACATTTCTGCTAGGATTGTAAAATGGTTCAGCCACTGTGGAAAACAGTTTGACTGTTCCTCAAAAAGTTAAGCATAGGAGGGGGGCAACCAAAATGGCTTGGGTGATAGAGGCTCTGTTCATCCCTCTGGCGACCAAATCAAAGTTGTGACGGAAACAAGGAGCAGCAGCAAGGAAAAATCGCCTGGGATCTACAACATAGAACTATGGGGAAATCCAAGAAATCACCCTGCAACAGTAGGAGGTAGAACAGGGCGAGGACACAGGGCTGCCTGGTCTCAAGTGGCTGAGTGAGACAGAGGCTGCGGCAGCGGCAGAACCCTTTTAAAGAGGCCATGTTCGTGAGTGGATTTTCATGGTGACGGACCTGCTTGCTCTGAGCACCAGTGCCAATTTGGCTGCGTGCAGGGGACACCAGGGACTTACAGGAGATATTTTCGGAGTGAGGGCTGAGGCAAGACTCGCTCCGTAGAGAAGTGCCGGCGATATCCATTGTTCTCAGTTGAGCCCTCCTCTTTCCCAGTGCGCGGGCACAGTGCCACCATAGCCGTGAGGTCATCAAACTGGATAACAGAGGTCGCTCTGCGCAGAGGATTCCCTGAAACCCTGCCTCCCCCAACTCGGGGCCCCACCCAAGCCACATCCAGGTATATCCTCAGCAAGTCAGGTGCTCCTTGCTGAGCAGCACCTAGACTCACACTGGAGGCAGCTGACCTCGGTTTCTGGCGTGGCCTTTTGAGGCAACTATAAGTACAGCATCTGTGGATTGCTTGCTGAATCTTAACAGGTGGCTCTGGAGGCTTGGGATAAGTTTGGCCTGCAGCTGAACCCCTCTCAGAACTGTGCCACTGGACACCTACTTCACAAATCTACACTCATAAGACT